CAATCGAGTAGATGCATTATGACGGAGATGAATATTTAGTTATATTTGCTTCTAATCATTAACAACTGTGCACTATTATATCTAGCTAAAGCTGCATACATCCTCGTAATCTGCTTTGACCGTCGATGATGTCAGATCTCACCCTTACTGTCCTGTACCCCTCTGATGCTCCACCTTCACAGCTAACAAACCTTGGAAACCCCCAGCAATCCAGAAAGATGCGCCGAGCGACGAGTCCAGACTACTATGGCTATCAATTTCTGATAAGCCGCTGCGGTCATCGGACAAATCAAGTCCTGTCGGTCCCTCAGTTATTGTCAATCTGTCTTGCTGAGCTGTAGCTAGCTCCTCCCCAAGTGTCCTCCCGCATCCAATCTAAGTACACCCAAGGTCAAGGAACAGAGCTTGCCCTGTCGGCTAGTTCTTGGTAGTAGTAGTATCATTATTATTTGGCGTGCCCGCACACTCGCTCTTCACTCTTCTTTCTCTTCTGCTTTTCTATCTCAATTACTTACGGGTTTTCTTCCCTTCCCTAGATTCTCCGGAGTATCGATCTCCGGTTTATCTAACCATGGTTTTGATTGACAAGCAAGAGTACCTCACCCAAGAGGAACAGCGTCTCAAGGCGGACCGTGAACGGACCAGATACTGGAAAAAATGGGGTCCTTATGTCGCAGAGAGACAATGGGCCACAGGTGAGTTCTCATTCTATTCATGAGTTGCTTCAAGTGGCGTCACTGGTAATTCGGAGCTTGTCCGCTGATAATCTCATCCCCGGCCGTCTGCAGTCCGAGAGGATTATTCGTAAGTGCTTCTCCTGTTTCCTTGTTCACACTGGTCTTGGAAATCATCATTATTGTGTCCAATGCAATGCTTTTTTACAACTACTGACGAATTATCAGTGAAAATGGAGACGCGTGGAGTTGTAAGTCTATCTTATCCACATGTGAATTGCGCGGGGCTGATCGACGTATCTGTTACGGTTAGATTTCTCCCACGATCACTCCCGGTCAAGAACATATCGGTGGGGCGAGGATGGAATCGCTGGTGTGTCGGATACCCATGGCTTAGAAAATATCGCTTTTGCCTTTTGGAATGAGAAGGAGTATGTTCACGCTCTCTGGATATGCGATCTCAGCTGCGTTCTGACATTGACTGTTGAACAGCGACTTCTTGAAAGAGCGCCTGTTTGGATTGTCGAATCCTCAGGGAAATCATGGTGAGAGCATCAAGGAAGCTCACTTTCACCTGGACAATACCCCAACCGTAAGGGACTCCCGTCAACTGCTTAACTATGCGTTGCATTGACATGCGCGTTTCTAGCACTCGTACATGAAATACCTCTACAAGTACCCCCAGAAGAAATTCCCCTACCAGGATTTGATTGACGAAAATGCGCGGCGTTCAAGGCAGGACCGTGAATACCAACTTCTCGACACCGGTGCATTTGACGATAATCGCTACTGGGATATCTTCATTGAGACTGCCAAAGAGGGAGAAGATGAGGAGGAACTCATGTTCCGTGTCATTGCTTACAACAGAGGTCCGGAACCCGCTCCGTTGCACATAGTCCCTCATGTGTGGTTCCGAAACACCTGGTCCTGGGGGTATGAGAATGAGAAGGAGAAACCCTCAATTGAGAAAGTGTCGCACCTTACAGCAAAAACCTCTCACAAGAAGCTGGGAGAGCGATACGTACGATTCTCGCCCTCTCCAGCTGTCGGCAATAGTCAGGAGGATGTCATGCCTCGTATGCTGCTCACTGAGAACGAGACGAACAACGAGCTGCTGTGGGGCACTAAGAACGACCAGCCCTACGTTAAGGATGCCTTCCATCGCCATATCGTCAACGAAGAGAAGGATGCCGTTAACCCCGCCAACAAGGGAACAAAGTTCGCCGCTTGGTATGCCTTTGACGAGGGAGACGGCATCCCTCCAGGCGAGTGCGCAGTCGTCCGCTTCAGGTTCTCCCGCAAGAACGAGCAATTCATCGACGAAGAAGTGCTGGATGATACAATCGAGCAGCGAAGGGCAGAAGCTGACGACTTCTACTACCGAATCAGCCCTCTCCCGATGAGTGACGATCTGCGTAATATCCAAAGACAGGCATTTGCGGGCATGATGTGGACGAAACAATTTTACCACTTCGTTTGGGACCAATGGGCGAACGGAGACCCTGGAATGATACCACCGCCCCCGGAAAGGAAGCATGTGCGCAATCAGCAATGGAAGCATTTATATATCGATGACATCTTGTCTATGCCGGACTCTTGGGAGTATCCATTTTTCGCTGCTTGGGATACAGCTTTCCACTGCATCCCACTGGCCATGGTCGATCCAGACTTCGCGAAGAAGCAGCTGGACCTCCTTACTCGTGAATGGTACATGCACCCGAATGGCCAGCTCGCGGCTTATGAATGGAACTTTGGAGACGTTAACCCTCCTGTGCATGCATGGGCTGTCTTCAGAACGTTCAAGATTGAACGGAAGATGTACGGCCGGCAGGACCTTGACTTCCTGGAGCGCGTCTTCCAGAAGTTGTTGCTGAACTTTACCTGGTGGGTCAACCGCAAGGACTCAGAAGGCAAAAATGTTTTCGAGGGCGGTTTCCTTGGCCTGGATAACATTGGACTATTCAACCGTTCTGAGCCTCTTCCGACTGGAGGCGTCTTGGAACAGGCGGACAGCACCGGCTGGATGGCCTTCTATTGTCTATGCATGCTCAATATAGCTCTTGAATTGGCAAAGCATCGCCGAACCTACGAAGACAGTGAGTCAACGTTCTACTGAATTACGGACGTCTCACTAACTGAAGCTAGTTGCGTCCAAATTTTTCGAGCACTTCCTTCTTATTAGTGATGCTATGACTTTCAAGTCAGGAGGCAAGGAATCGTCTCTGTGGAACGAAGAAGACGGGTATGTGTAATGCAATAGTCAAGACGGGCGGGCTAGCAGCTGATTCTTCACAGCTTTTACTACGACGCAATTTCTTACGGCGAGCCATGGACACAACAGCTTCCTGTGAGGTCGCTGGTTGGCTTGATTCCTCTGTATGCGGTTCTCACGCTCGAACCTGAGCTGGTTAACCAGTTCCCTTCATTCAAGAGGAGAATGGACTGGTTCATTGAGAACAGGCAGGATGTTGCAGAAAGAAACATTGCCAGCATGAAACGGCGCGGGAAGGACGACCGACTTCTCCTGTCACTGGTGAGTAAGGATCGTCTGGAGAAGATTCTCAAGAGGATGCTGGACGAAACCGAGTTTTTGTCCGAGCACGGTGTCCGGTCTATGTCCAAGTACCATGAGAAGCACCCGTATTCTATGGACGTCAATGGCCAGACATTCAGAGTTGGCTATGTACCAGGTGATTCCGACAGTGGATTGTTTGGAGGAAACAGCAACTGGCGCGGACCAGTCTGGCTGTGTGTTAACTTCTTACTTGTTGAGTCCCTTCTCCGGTTCTACATGTTCTATGGGGATTCTTTCCAGGTGGAATGCCCCACAGGCTCTGGAGACTACATGCATTTGGGCCACGTTGCCGAGGAGATCCAGCATCGTCTGCAGCACCTCTTCGCTCGCAATGACCAAGGTCGCCGAGCTGTCAACGATGGCTCAGATCTCCTCGATTACGATGAGCACTGGAAGGACTACATGTGGTTCCACGAGTTCTTCGATGGTGACACCGGACGTGGACTGGGAGCGTCCCACCAATGCGGATGGACAGGTCTCATCGCCAAGGTCATCCACGATACCGGGTAAGTTTATCCTCTTGAGTCTGACACTCCATCCCCGCACCTCTAACCTTCTCTGCAGAGTCAACTGCCGCCTCCCACACACCCCCCGCTCCCCCTTCGCCGCCGCATCGCACTACTTCGACGACATCTTCACCCGCTCAGGCCGGCCCCGTTCCAGCCGCAAGCCCAGCTTCCGGCGCTCATCGACCACCCGCTCCATCGGCAACCGCAGCGACTTCGAATCAGCCTTCGGCGGCGCTGAGACCCCCGCCGCAGAGATCCTCTCCGAAGACGAGCATGACCGCGGAGTCCTCCGCAACGGAGTGGACGAGCACGTCTCCAATTACGTCGCGAGCCAGCTGCAGCGCGTGAGAAGCTCCGCGTCCATCGGAGCTTACGAGGATGAGTTCGAGGCGCAGGCTGACCGCACTCCGAACGGTCATTAGACTTCCTATCTGTGATGCATCTTTGTAGGAAGTGGGTCCGGGTAAAATCGAAGTGCATGTGCATGTTGACACTGCATTATGCTGTTATACATAGTTGATCTAACGAGATAGAATTGCATTGCATATCGTTTTTGATTGAATTGACATACTTGTAAGCCAAGAAGGATCCGTTATCGGTGTGCTCAGACAGAGATTGCTCGAGTCCGTTGTCTCCATATCTATATCCTCGTTCCTATATTTGTTTCATATTAGAGAATTGCTTGCTTCTCGGCAAAGGAACCGCCGGGTTACATACCAGGACATGGATACCAGGGCTCCTTATTTAGATATACTATCAGATATATCAACCCTTGAGAATGGCCACTCAACGGTCATCTACCAAGACGTGTCAACTATTAAATGATTAGGCCACTCAGCTAAGAACGTGTCTAGACGACATTTCTACCCAGTGTAGTAGGAATAACACTGCAGACTATGATCAACAAGTTACTAGGTACCAATCCAAGTGGATTGGGTTTAGTCTATCAACCTGTTCCCCAGTGCCGAGGTTCTAAATGATACTTAGATGAGGATGAAAACACTGTATACACCTAATGAATAGAAAAGAAGACAGCGTCTTGACCCCCAGGGCAGTCAGGCAGTTAACCATTGTAACCTCAGGCATGATTAAGTTTGTCCGTAACCACCCTCTCTCTTCACTATGACGATTCTACTTCCAGTGAATAAAGTTTCTCATCATGTCTCCCATTACCAACTTTCCATTCATCTCTCCAGCCAGTTGTCAGCGCTAAGCGCCATGATGGACTGTCTCAAAACCAGTATGTCCTTCCTGAATCTCGATCTCTTGGGAACAGCCAAGCAAGAAAAGCACCATGTGTGTGTCAACCCACTCTACAACGAAAAGCGCAATGCATACCTGGACGGGCTTTACGACACCTGGGAGCTTGTGTCGAATGTGGAAAATCCATACCTAGGTCCAGCATCTCTTGCTAGGTTTGGCATCAAGTGTCACAATCTCCTTCAAGAATCGTCCTTTGTTGAAGTGCCATATGCCACTAAATTCTTTCGCAGAATGCCTCACGGGAAACTACAGGAATACCTAATTGACATGGATGATGAAGAAACCGTGTGCTGCATTAGCGATGAGAAGGATCTGTGGGGTCTAAATACACAGGTTCTCCGCGAACTGGATTCCGTCATGCTAGCCGCAACGATATGCACGGCACTGGGACTCGCCTTCAATGCATATGAAAGAAAGACAAGTGATGGTCAGCAAGTTACACTTAGGCAAATAAGTGGATGGAAGAAAGCGTATGAAACCAAGTCCCTAGTTGCGATAGCTGGCTGAGATGCTTACTGCTTCATTTAGTGATTTTGGACTTGGAATCTTCCATGATGTTTTTTACGACGACATCTTCCATTCTAAGCATTGGTATCCCGAGGATGCTTGGCAATCAGGCAAGCCAAAGGACCAACCTCATGTCATGTTCACTCTTGCACATGAGTATGAGGTGAAAGATAACAGCCTTCTACGCGGAGAGGTACTAGCCATTATAGCCACCATGCTGACTCGACTTGAAAGTAGTTCCTTCAAGGATCATAATATCATTCCTGTACTGTCCTGAGTCACTCCAACACCGAGCTTGCCTAAATACTAACGTTCCCCCGCACATCAGGTCATGGCACTATCTATCATGGGCGGGCGGAAAGGCAGGGTGCTTCAGGCCTATTTCGCTGACGAAGGGCTGGTCATTTTCAAGAGTAGACTCTTTTTATTTGCAGGAGAAGAAGACGGCAAAACCTCATCGGAGTTCTTTCTCCAGTACATGGGTAGCGAGATCTTTGGGGATACTGCAGTTACGGAGACACCGTCAATTCTTTGACGACTACTCAGTTTCGGTGAAGCCTGATGTAAGTGATTTTACTACGTAAGTATATCACCAATGTTTTGCTAATTTATTTAAAAGGCGACCAAAGGATCACTTATGGGTAGGAGGTGGGTAAACATATATTTGCAATCTCGGACTGGTTCGACTGCCTGGGCAAGGTATACGGAACCACCTATACTTTGCAACTACGCCTGGAAATAGTATGCTGTATGTTAAGTTTGCTCCAGATAGTGAGAGATTTGCAGCAGCCCTGGCTCATTCAAGAATTCAACCCGGCCTTTAGAATGATGATCCAGAAAACTTTTGCTATTTCTTATTGCTTACCGATACCCCCCATAAGCGAGGCATAGCATAGATATCTACATATTCTCACTATCTCATCCACATCACGCCCTTCCCCTCATGTTCCCACACTATACAATAGAACGAAAGATGAAATGTAATTATCAAAGTGGAAACGAACTCTCATCCTGTCCATTCATTGCTCTCCAGAACTCGAGGATTGTGTCTCTTGGAAGCCGCGCGGACGACGCACAACTATGGGACTGTACGATACATGTCAAAGGGAAAATCAAAATTCTAGCCTATTTTATAATCTACAGCACATCGGTAAGGGCCTTGTTGAGCTTGGCGATCTTGGAGGAGACGCTGAGGTCGATGGTGCGGTCGCCCATCTCCAGGACGAGGCCACCGACGATGTCGGGGTTGACCTGTTACACAGACATTAGCTAGGCGGTCATGAGTGATGGGAGAGAGCGATAGGCATACCTTAGTAACGATCTTGAGCTTCTTGCCCTGGCTGAGCTCGTGCTTGGAAACGGCCTTCTCAAGGCGGTTGATGGTCTTGTTGTCGAGTTCCTGTAAAGGAGGCTAGTGTGAGCGACAAGTCCGGTGGTATCATGAAGCAAAAGCCAAAACGCACCTGGGCACTGGTGATGGTAACCTCCATCTCACCACGGTGAGCACCCATCAGGGTCTCGAACTTCTCGCAGATGCCCTCAAGGAGGCCGAGACGATTGTTCTCGGCCAGAGTCTGCAGGAAGTTCTTGATGACGTCGCCCTTGTCGCTACCGGCGATCTTCTGGAGCTCCTGGATAATCTGCTGCTTGTCGCTGGCGGTGAGGGTGGGGGCAGCGATGATGCTGGTCAGCTTGCGGTCGGCCTTGAAGGTCTGAGCGAGGCTGGCGAGAGCCTTGGAGGTCTGGTCGAGAGCGGAGGTCTTGGCAGAGGCAGTGTACTATTCATCTAGCTGTTAGTTCATATTCAATGCCCTTTAGTGATTCCTGCATGAACGATATGGATTTTGACGCGATTTGCAGGCGGAGAGGGGGGGATCGGGTCAACGGAGCGGAAAAAACGCAGACTGTGACCCAATCCGCAGAGCATCGAAGGAGCATCCAGGACAAATGCGAGTCGTACCAGAGCAGTGGCATAGGTTCCATCAACGCCGAAGAGAGCCACGGGGGGCTTGACGTTCTGAGCCGGGGTAGCATAAGTCCTCAAACCGTTGAGAGCGGCAGAGCGAGGGACGGAGAACTGCTGGGTGGCGCGCAGGCCAAGACGGGCGACACGAGCGGTGTTCATCGTGGCGGTGATGTGAGATGACCTCGTGGGGAGGGAGAGTGGAAGGATATAGGACGTGGGAACGTCGTTTAGAGGGGTGCAATGGCCGTTGGTCTGCTGCCGGAGAGTCTCTCTCGAAGTTGAAGCGACGTCCAACTTCTCCCGGTTCCGGTCACGTGAGTTTCCGCGCACGCCGAGAATTTCGGGTTCTCTTAGTGATAGCCATCTCTCCTACAGCATGAAATGAGTGAACTCGAAGACAAGTGCAAAGAACACGCTGACAGAATTGGTTTACTTCAATACTAATGCATACTCTTACATTGAAGAATCTCTCTCACTAAAAGATGTATCAAGGACAGAAAATGTCTCGGCCACTCTAGGAAATGGATCTGAAAGACATGCAAACACCCTAACGCCAATATTTCCTCGACCTGCCTCCGACCGAGGAGTATTCCGACCCAGTCATCAATCATCAATCGCATTCCGAGAATAGAAATCAGTCACTCCGCAACATGCTGTCGACGAGATCTCCAAGAGGACCCCAATAATCCTTGCCGGTCGCCAGCCGATGTTCATCAACGAATAGAACATAGTGTTTGAAACTGGTATTGAGATGGGGCTCGAGTCCCAAGTGCACAACCACGGGGTAGTGGTGGCAGTAGATGTGTGCATACACGCGATAAAGTCGCTTGAAGATCTGGCGAATCAAACTGGAGAATGCTTTGGGGAAGGGGACTCCTGTTATACTCGTCAGCCTGCCCCATCATTGTTCTTGGAATGAAGTCCAAAGTGGTGTCATACCAAGCCTGCTTGGGAACATCTGTTCGTTGTCGATATTGCTCTGGACCCAGCCCATCAGATGTTCGATGTACTCTGGCGCGGACATCTTAGTCGGTCGCTTGAAATTCTCCGAGTCTTGCCAGAGATACTCGAACCTGTCGCATCAACCTTGGTCAGCTGCAAGCCTCCCGTTTGTTACTGAAGTGAGAGGACCTACTCATCGGTGGCTTTCATCTCCGGACATGACTGCGGGGAGCAGAACTCCGTGATGGCGCCGTAAAGGAGGTTGATCTGATTGTAAAAGTCGACCACTAATGCGAAAATCCACCGAATTAGCTATCCCCAAGTCACACTCAGGGCACCGCAACAACCCCTCCAGTAGACTCACCATTGACTGCAAGCCACTCATTCACATCCTCGCCCTCAGGGAGCTTCACAGCCTTCCTCAAACTCCCGCTCCCCAAAGTCGCCTCTGCAAACTGCCTCAGCTGATAACTGCTCGTGCCCTTGGCAGCCGACCGGGGCTTAAACGGCGCCCTGGTTCGCGCATTGCTGGGAGGTGTCAGTCCACACAGATTCTGCTTGAGCGCGCGAACAGCAGGAGACAGGTAAGAAGGTGGCTCCGAAAGCGGACCACGGAAAGTATGGATGGTGCTGCATGAGATTGACGGGGTGAGGGCGGAGAGTTGGTGTGATGGCGGGGCAGACGGAGAAGTAGATGAGGAAGAAGTAGAAGCAGAGGGAATAAAGGGTCTAAAGGGCACGAACATGGTGGTGATAAGTGAAGCCATCCTGTCTCCGCTCTGTGACTTCAACACCTCCTTGGAGGTATTCGCTATAAGAGGACAACGGCGTTTCTTTTGATTTTTCCCGTTTCGGAGGTATGGGCGATAAGTCTTAGAATGTGACTGATCTGCGTATGCGTTGCTGAGTGCGAAATGCGCCTACATTCCAATGCCAGAGGGTTAGCTATCAATCCGTATCGGGTGTTTCTGATCTCTGGAACCTCGATGTCACTAACCGGAAGAAACGACGAAGGCTAATGGTTGGGACCTTCTGGACGGTCGGTTGAGAGGGGCAAAATGCGAGAAAATAATGTCGCGTTTCAGAAGGCACTCAGGCACAAGGGTGAGGCTAATATCTCCGATGCAGACGATGAAGAAGGAAGAAAAAAAGCAAACAAACAGATTAGCTGCAGGAAACGCGATGATCAACAAGCAAGCTTAAACTTGACGATATGACGAGTAGACCTGGACCTGGCCTTCAGCTGGCCACAAGCAGGGAATCCGATCGGATCCCACATGCGGAGCAGTCTGACGGACGGGATCCATGGATGCCTCAAGGGAGCGAGACGGAAGGCCCCATTGGTTGCCCCAGTGACCACTTCCATCCAAAGACTTCACTTCTCTACTCTGAACTGTGATGTCAGACTCGATTATCTAGTAGATGCAGTTTATCAGATACTAATTTGACTACGTTTGAGGGTCAAAGGATTTATGAGATTATACCATGTTGATGAGCGCTGCTCTACAAGAGTCTCACGAGAAGACCATGGGGGAATTAATCCGGGGTATGATCAACGCTCATGCAAGAAGTACATATACCTCTAGATAGAATAACCCTCGTTCTCTTCCGGGAGCCTCTCCCGAACAGTCTCTCCGTATACCGTGACGGGGATTGCGATCTCAAAGGACTCACAACCGAGATTCTCAAGGCCTGACATAACCTGCCCACGGTCGTCCTCGGAAACCACTTCCAGCAGCCTAGCACCGGAGAGCCCTGAACCCAGCTCATGGTGTAAGCTGGTAGTCACAAACTCGAACCGTAACTCCCATTCATGGTTGACTCCGGTGGTGATGATAGTCGGCGTTGCGGAGACGGGAACCGCAGGATTGAAAACAACTCGTGTGGAATAAAGCGTATTCTCGAAGAAGGATGCATACACTCGTCGTGTGGCTCGGTGGATGCTAGCGTTTGACCGAACTGCCAGTGAGGCTGCGACCTTCTCAAACGACTCCAGTGTGGCCCGCAGGGCGTAGCATGGAAGTGCGACATCCGTGAAATTCACCGTGGCGGTGATTGTTTCCCCCAATCGATGTGCCGGCCGGTTGAGCACCACCACAGCGATGCGGCGCCCATTGCGGGCAATTTCAAACCGGTTGGGGCTGCGCGCCGTGCTTATTGCTTGATTGCTTCGAAGGATGGCCAAGTCAATTGCGTCTTTGCAGGAAAGCGGTCCGGCCAACGGTTCATAGCTTGAGGAGCGTCTTGCGTTGACAAGATCTGGTGGTTGCAGTAGATTTTTGCGAGATTGTTGCTCGAGGAGTTCATCTACGTAGGAAAGAAATTCTGGTGCTGACGTCCATACATGCCCGCTAATGCTCTTATTCTTAGACACTGGCGGGGGGGTAGAGCCTATTTTCTGGACCCTGGCTTCGTCTCGAAGAAGTACATAAGGGCTCATCAGGTTATGACCAAGGATCTCTCCTTGACCTAAGAAAGATTAGTGACAGGTGTCAAGTAAGGAGGATGACCTATAGGACTTACTGTTCACTCCGCTGAAGACACGGAAGGGGATAGTGATGCGATGCACGCGCTGAGGTTCGTTAGACCCACTCGGCCTTTGAGTGCCTATGACTAGATTATATGATATCTTAATAGCTTTGCCCTTATGACTCGCAGGAAGTCCCTTGCGAAGAGTGAAGGAGAAAGAATAGGACTGTTCTTCTCCTGGTGCCAGTCGCAGATCCACAAAGAGAAGAGACTGCGGAGTGGATAACAGGGGTATCGATCGTGACGAAGTAACGCCACGCATATCACGAAGACCATCGAGTTCATTGTTGGATAGAAGACCGCTTATGGACTCCTCTATCGCATTCCACTTGAAAGCACCCCAGAACCCACCACTTTTACGGCTTTTGTCGCTGATGGAGGCGGATCCACCACTTAGCATACCAGCTGCATTTCCTTGACTGCCAACGACACCTTTTCTTTTGACTTCTTCAAACGCTGCTTGATTGATTAAGGAGCCATCGACGGTAAAGGATGCGCTGACTTGGGCATAACCCATGAGGAGGGTTTGGCCGTTGGGTAGTCTCGGTCCCGTATCCACACTCGAAAAATGACGTGCGTGACGAGGACCACTCGGGCGTTGTGTATTTGCGGAGTAATTCGTGTATTCGGACTGGAGAGTCTCTGAGGAGTTGTCGCTGGCGGAGTAGAACTCGCCGCTGCTTCGATGGCTTCCACTCAGGCTGGATGTAGAAATTATTCGTGTAAGCTGGGGTAGGTGGCCAGGTGGAGGTATTGCTGGACTTTCTTTCCCATTTGATCGTCCTGTCGACACGGAGCCGGTATTCTCATCACTAGATGTTGCCGCAGGAGAAAGGGCCGGGCGATTGCTAGGATCGGATGTGGGAGCAGGCGGGAATTTGAAATCAATAGGCGGCAGTTGAGGCCTGTGCCTAGGTATACGAGGGGATCCTAAAGGCTGAATGGGTCTCTGCCCATTGGATCCGGAGCGGTTGACTCTGCTGGGCCCATCCACGTCTGGCCTCAGATTACCCGGGAATTGGTTGGTGCCAGCCTCGGAGGAAATGCCACGGACGGTATTTCGCCCAGCTAAGTAGCGGAATACATGAGTGTCATTGATCGTCAAAGTTCAGGGATGTAGCGCGAGCCTCACCTTTTGCGAAGCCATCCTCATACCCCTCATACCTTCTAGGTACAACTTGCAAGCTCGCAGAACGACCATGACCCTTCGCCGGCCTGGAACGATTGAACTGGAATGACGACCTCGGGGTTTTATCCCCGGTTCCTTCGCTTTCAATTGACAGTATAGACACGGAGCGCTTGTGCTCGTGCCCGGGGTTTTGGTTATTTCGAGGGGTGGGAGGAGGAAAGCTGTGCGAGCCGATTAACGGGGAGCTCAACGACGAGGATACTCGATGCGAAGGACTCTTCCTGGGCGCAACGGGAAAGGAGCGGCGGTGAGGACTAAACAAAGAATTCTGAGGAGCTTTCAAAGAAAAGTAGGACTCGGAGTTTGAGGCCTGCGCATTACCGGCGCGAGACTGCTTTCGCTGATGGGACACCTGCCCTCCATTGTTTGTCTCCACGTCTGTCTCTGCCACGTTCTTGAAGGTGATTATACATTCCACATCTTCCCCTGCAAATATAGTCTGGTCTTTCCACTTCACAAAGACCTGTATGTCCGATTGCATGGCGAGGGTCGCAGCGTCACCATGTGGGCGGCGGAGGAAGAGGCGGAGGGATATAGGAGTTGGGGGAGTGACAGCGGGTACCAGCTACCACTATTTTGGAATTAGCCGAGGAAGTCTCATGCATACGCCAGCATCGACATGCTGTCATATGCTAAACGAAGCAGGCCATTTTTCTATGGTTGTATGGTTAGAGGGCAGATTAAGAGCCGGATGCGCTCTGATCGGGGAGCAGTCAGTTGGTCATTAACGTGCATGGTTCCATTGACGGGGAAGACTCGGACTGCGTGGCGCTACCGCTCAGCTACCATGGTGTTCGCATCTAGTCCTGCAGAGCGCTCTAAACATTATTGAAGAACTTCGCGTAGAAGCGAATTGTCTCGTGTCTCTCTATTACAATTGAAGAATCCTCGGTTGATTTTACTATGTATCTTCGTAATTCCTGAAGCCGGAGAAACTTTGAGCTCGTGCAACTAATAACAATCACGGAAGCCAGGAGAATTTAATGCAGGGTGCTTCTATTATTAGGAGATATGGTACACTATAATACACAGAGATCGACGAAATGGAGTCTCAAGCAGAACGCTGTGAACATGGTAGACATAGCTCCTCAAAGAGGCTTATCATACAACACCTTGGCGTCCGAGAATTTATCTGCGCGGCGCTTTGGAGGCCTGAGACCCAGCTCAGCCATCTGACTCCAAATGCGATCGTGTCTTCTTTCCCACCGCTCCCGTCTTTTTTCCATGTCTTCAGGCGAAGGCCGCCATTTGCTCTTCAAGATCCGTCTGATTGCTTCCGGAGAGACCTGAAACTGCTCAGCTAGCACAGGAGTGGTGAATCGATCCGGTGCAACAGCGTGTAGGTGACGAATCCCTTCCAGCGCGTCGGGTGATAGCTTCTTCGGCGGATTCCAGCCCTCCTTGAATTTCTTCTTCAGAACTTCCTTTTGGATTTGCCACGGCTCTTTCTTTTTCTTCGACTTGGAGAGGACGGAAAGACCGGATGTTCGAGGGGCTTGTGAGCGTTTCTTATCCGAGGACTCGTTTGCAGCTGGCTTTGGTCCGACCGTTTCTTCTGAGGCAGACGCTTTCTTATTTTTCGCAGAATCGGCGCGAGGGGAAGAGCCGACAACCTCAGACAGATCGCCTGATGCTGTTATTTCGCCGGCGCCAGAGTTGGCTGGTTCGTCCGGTTGTGGCACACTGCTACCATTTGCAGCGCTGGAAGGCGTATATGGTTGTTTGGATGAAGTAGGTATATGGTCGGCCAGAGTCAGCGAGCTAAACTGTCGAGCCCCTCTGATCCTGCGATAGGCCAAGGGTGGTCGTTGCACGGTGAAGAGACTTTTGTACTCAGAACGAGGTCCAAGATCGGCGGCGAACTCAGAGCGAAAGACATTTCGCAATAGGGTAGGAAGACTGAGTCTTGAGGACGCGACACATATACTGTTTGCCATAGCAAGGACTTGTTTGCAAAAATAGGCAGAGATCAAAGAAACCTGGCAAGAGAGATTGTTGTTGGTATGGAGCAGCAAGGAATCCTTTGAT